GCCAGGATTTGCTCATGGCGTCGACCCCTGGAGGTCTCGACCCATTCCCTGGGCCCGGCCTCTCGTCCCGAGTCGGTGTTGGAGGGTTCCGAGGTCCGGCAAGGGCCCTCTGAGGCCGACCATGGCGAAAAACCTCCCGTCGAGATTTGGTTCATGGCCCGAGGGGGTCTGTACCTAGAGGCCTCCTAGATGTTGTCCGAGTAGATGGGGCCCGAGTATCGTTTAACCAATCCCCATCCCCAGAGGCGTGGCCTGGGCCACGCTGGCCGATTTACACCCTTAGATGGGGATCTAGGTCGTTCTCTTCGGGTTTCGAGGGTGTATGCCCAACTGGGGTGGTAATTTGGTGGGGGTCTCGAGAGGGTTGAGATGGGGATGGGGATCGGTTAAACGATACCGATGTTTCATGACCCGAGGGGGTCTGGGAAGACTGCAGCACCCAAATCTTAGGGGTCCACGACGTGGTCCCGGGCGCGGCCTGATATCGCCCCGGCATCCCGCTCTTGCTATCTGCCCGAGCGCCCCGCCCCCGACGCGCCCGCTTGCGCGGAGGGAAGGCTGGCCCTTAGGGCAGAAGCAATCTCCTAAATCCTCCTCCTCCTCTTCCTCCTCCTCCTCCTCCTCCTCACCCTCCTCCTCCGCCTCCTCCTCCTCCTCCTCCTCCTCCTCCTCCTCCTCCTCCCCATCATCCTTCTCCAGACGAGGGGGAGAAGGGTTGCAGCACCCCACGTCCGGGCGCTGCAATCTTTAGGGGAATAAGCAATGGCATGAACTTTCGGTGGTCCGCGCGAACTTCTCGGATCCGCGCTGGGGGGCACCTGGCAGCGCCTCCACGCGCCGCCCCTGGCGCGCTCCGCGCTCCAGGGAGGGCGGTCCAACGCCGATCCGAAAAATCCACGGAGAACCGCTAAAGTTCAGGTTCCCGGCAGTTGTTCCCTGTTTTTTTTCGAAACGGGCGTTTCCGCCCAGTTTCGGGCCCTGCGACCCTCACGGGCCGATCGGCTCGAAGACTGACGCAGAAAGAACGGGTCTGGGGCTCCCGGCGTGATTATCGCGATGTCGCATTTTGTGTCGCAGCATCGGATCTCGAACGAGGAGCAGCAGCAGCGGGAGCAGGACCAGAAGGAGGAGCAGGAGGCGGAGGGAGGAGGACTACAACCGAGACATCTCGGCCAGCCTCCCAGAAGTCTCTTGACACAAAGCTGTGCCAATCTCTTCCGTTGACGCCGGAGGGGCGAGCGTGCTCCAGGAACTGGGCCGCCCCTCCGGCAGGTGAGTGAAGAAAAGCTGGCCCAGGCGTTGGCGCACGCGCGGTGTAGGTTGGTCCTCCTCCTCCTCCTCCTCCTCCTCCTCACCACCACCACCACCACCACCACCACCACCACCACCACCACCACCACCACCACCATCATCATCATCATCAGCATCATCATCATCATCATCATCATCAGCATCATCATCATCATCATCCTCATCCTCATCCTCATCCTCATCCTCATCATCATCATCATCATCATCATCATCACCACCACCACCACCATCACCATCATCATCATCATCATCATCATCATCATCATCATCATCATCATCATCATCATCATCATCATCATCATCATCATCGTCCTCAACCCCTCCTCCTCCTCGTCCTCCTCCTCCTCCTCCTCCTCCTCCTCCTCCTCCTCCTCGGGAGGAGGTTTCTCGAACAGATGCTCGACTGGTCTGCCCTGCATCGGGCGCGCGTTCACGCGGATCGCGGATCCGTGGACCTGGCGCGCGGGCGCCGGACCCACGGAGGCCAGCGACGCCTCGTGTGGCGACGCGGTGCCCCGACGCCCGCACGGGAGCGGGTCCCATCGCCAACCCACGGGACTTTTTCGGTCGCGGCCGCGAGCGAAGAGCGCACGCGGCGACAGAAATTGTCCGGGGCTACGAACAAACCTAATTAGCTGCAGGGCGCAACTCGGCCGGCCGGGCCAGCTCACAAGGCGGCCGCTGGGGCAGCAAGGCGAGGGCAACCCATGGGACGCGCAGGGACAGACTAATGCCGCATGCTCTCCTTGGATGCGCGCGTCCGCCCCGACCATGCAGTATAGCATACCCATCTTGCAGTAGCTCGTTTTCCGAGCGGTGTGGCCGGAAAGCGCCCAGCACGACGCACAACATTTCTCGGTGCGCGCGTCGCCCCTGGGGGGGGCGACGCGCATGTAGTATAAGAATGTTGGGGTGCCGCCGAATCCACGCGCCTCGATCGATGCTTGCGCTTCCTCTCGGGGGCGCGCAAACATGGGTTAGCGATCCACGGATTAGGCGCGCGGTCGCCAAATCCATACGCATCTGGAGCCCTGGAGCCTCCATAGACCTGATCTGGGCCACCTCCCCCTCCAAGGACCCCATCCTGCACGCTGGTGACACGGTGGTACGGTATGCACGGGAATGGTGGGAGGCGGGAGATGATGACATTCGAGCGGCCGATGGCCTGTCGGCAGGCCAGTTGTCGAAGGCCTGCCACGGCTGCCTGCAGAGGCTGGCGGCCATGCCTGTATCACAGGGATGGAGGCGTAGAGGCACACATCCCATCCTTGACGCGCTCTTGTGGGGAGTCGAAGCGGGGTGGACGTATACAGGGCCAGCTTCCTTTACATCACGGGATGGTGCTCAGGTTCGGCTCACCGACTCCCCACCTACGCTTGTGCAGAAGATTTTCATTCAGGATTTGAAGAAGAAGCTCCTGGACGATACTATGTTGCGTTTACTGGATCGGGAAAACCACCCCAGGGTCCAGGACATCAAGATGAGGGGCCTCTGGACCGAGCCTATCCAGTTGTTGCTGAAATCGAAAGAACTGAACGCCCAGGGAAAAGACATCGCCAGGAAGCTTTTTTGTAGAGCATATACGACGGCCTCTTCGCTGCACCGATGGGGGTTTGCCACCTCGCCCAAGTGCAGGTTCTGCCTGGCCTTGGACACGACGTGGCACCGAGCGTGGTGCTGCCCCCACGGCGAACCTCTGAGAGCGGGCCTTGACCCTACGATTGTTGAGGCCGCTGTGAGGGCAGGCGAAGAGGACCCTCTCTATTCCTCACTTTGGTTACCGACACCAGAGTTAGAAGTGCCAGGACCGACCGAGGACCAGGTGCACTATTTCAACGCTGACGGGCCGACCGACCCGTTCATGTTTCAGAGTGGGGCCATCGTTTTCGGAGATGGGTCGGTGGTGGAGCCCAAGTGTGAGTTGCTCGCCAGAGGAGGCTGGTCTGCCATCGAGACGGATGAGGAGGGCAATATGGTTAGAGGAATGCGAGGGAGTATCCCCAGCAGCCTGCCGCAGACCGCCGTCCTCACAGAACACCATGCCCTGATGAATATGGTAGAGCATATTGAGGCCAGCTCAGAGGAC